AGCCTGGGGCAGAGATGGAGAAGCAGAGAGAGCTTGGGGAGGAGGAGGAGAAACAGGGGAGCCTGGGGCAGAGATGGAGAAGCAGAGAGAGCCTGGGGCAGAGTGGGATCAGGGAGAGCCCAGGGAGGAGGAGGAATAACAGGGGAGCCTGGGGCAGAGATGGAGAATCAGAGAGCCTGGAGAGGAGGAGGAGAAACAGGGGAGCCTGGGGCAGAGTGGGAGCAGGGAGAGCCCAGGGAGGAAGAGGAGGAGAAACAGGGGAGCCTGGGGCAGAGATGGAGAAGCAGAGAGAGAGCGTGGGGAGGAGGAGGAGAAACAGGGAGCCTGGGGCAGAGATGGAGAAGCAGAGAGAGCCTGGGGCAGAGTGGGATCAGGGAGAGCCCAGGGAGGAGGAGGAATAACAGGGGAGCCTGGGGCAGAGATGGAGAAGCAGAGAGAGAGCCTGGGGAGGAGGAGGAGAAACAGGGGAGCCTGGGGCAGAGATGGAGAAGCAGAGAGAGCCTGGGGCAGAGTGGGGATCAGGAGAGCCCAGGGAGGAGGAGGAGTAACAGGGGAGCCTGGGGCAGAGATGGAGAAGCAGAGAGAGCTTGGGAAGGAGGGAGCCTGGGGAGGAGGAGAAACAGGGGAGCCTGGGCAGAGATGGAGAATCAGAGAGAGCCTGGGGAGGAGGAGGAGAAACAGGGGAGCCTGGGGCAGAGTGGGAGCAGGGAGGAGGAGGTGGAGAAACAGGGGAGCCTGGGGCAGAGATGGAGAAGCAGAGAGAGAGCCTGGGGAGGAGGAGGAGAAACAGGGGAGCCTGGGGCAGAGATGGAGAAGCAGAGAGAGCCTGGGGCAGAGAAAACGTATACAATTGAAATAACAGCAACTATATTAATTACAAACATTTAGCTAATATGAGGGCTACAATTTTTGGAAATAGACTGGCATGGGGGTACTCCAGTAAAGAAAGGTTAGGCACCACTGCCTTAGAAGATAGATCCAATCACAAAAATCTATATTTATCCCTCTGGGGCACAGAGTTTTTTTTTTTTTTATTCAGATTAAAAATACTATTTCCGGGGGCGGAGCCAGCGCCTGAGCAAGCAAGTCGCAGCACACCGAAGCTCCGAGAACGCGACCCGCTAAAACCCACATTCCAGCGATAGAAACTAACTCCGAGACCCAAAGACTAGTTCCCCGGAATCCCCTGCACCATGGGGAAAAAGACAAAGAAAAGCCGAGCTGACCCCAGCTTCGGATCTCAAGATATTGGCACTTTTATGCGCCCGGCGCAGCGGCATGAGTCAGCCAAGATGGCGCCAAGCGAGGCCTACGCCACACAATCATCAGACGAAGATAGCCCATCTGAATCCGTTCATGCTCCCAGCAGGGCACAAACCAAATTCCAACAGCCCCACGAGCTAGGGGATGCGGCACCTGCCACAAAAGCCGACATAAAGGCGCTGATGCTAAATATTAAAGAAATGTTTGATGCAGACATGGCGCTAGTCAGAGGCGAGGTCTCTAAGCTCTCTGGCC